TGTTGAAGCTTTGCTGCTAAACGTGCATAGAATCTACACTTCTTCAGATGCATGGTGTATGGTCTTCAGATATTGGTATAAATAAATTTGTTATGTCTCCAAAGTTTAAAGTGCTCCAAGACTCTCTGCTGATTATGCTACAACAAGGCTAATATTGCTACCCTTCTAGAAACTTTCCCAGAATGCGTCCCATTTTTGCCTCATTCATCTTTATTTTCAGTGTTTAAAATTTGCCCAGGTCATTACTGCAAGGGACACAGTGACGCTTCTCTTGTTATATTAGCTATGCTTACCCATGCTGGGTAAGGTGATGAGAGCCAGCATGGTGTAGTGGTTTGAGTTACTACAGTTCCCATCATCTTCAGAGAGCTAGTTAAGAGTAACAATAGTTTTTTAATCCTACATACCAGGAGGAACACCAGTTAGACCAATGAGTTGGGGAAGGCAGAATTTGGACATGGATTTCATCCATTTCCACTTTGGAGTTTGCTAAATATCCCTAGGCAGCATATCTTTTCTTTTAAATATGCTAAGCAGCATTTATTTTCTTCAGGGCACTATGTATTGGAGTAGTTTGAGTGTCAGACTAGGAATTTGGGAGACCATGGTTTGAATCCTTGCTCTGCCATGGAAACCCAGTGTATGATCTTGGGCTGCATGCACACTGCAAACATAATGCAGTTTGACACTGTTTCAACTTCCATGGCTCAGTGCTCTGGTATCCTTGGGTTTGTAGTTTGGTGTGGCACCAGAGCTCTCTGAGAGAGAAGGCTGAACTACAAATCCAAGAATTCTATCTCATTGAACCATGGCAACTAAAGTGGTGTCAAACTGCATTATTTGTGAGCTGCCTTGGGTCCCTTTTTGGGAGAAAGGTGACACAGAATTTAAATAAATAAATAAATAAATAAATAAATGGTGTAGTGCAGATGCAGCCTTGGGCAAGTCACATCTTCTCAGCCTCAGAGGATGGTCATGCCACTACTCCTCTGAGCAAATCCTGTAACACAGCAAAGCCCCCACAAAAAACAAGACACAACATCCTCCAATATCACCCAGAATAATTACAGTATTTCAAAATTAGTAAGTAAATCTTAAATGATTAAATTATAATAGTTTACTGTCAGGTGAGCTATACTGTTTGATGAGAGTCAGCATGGCATAGTGGTTTCAGCATTGGACTACAACTCTGAAGACCAGGGTTTGAATCCCATCTCAGCCATGTAACCCAGGGGTGACCTTGGGCAAGTCACACTTTCTCAACCTCAGAGGATGGCAATGGTAAACCCACTCTGAAGAAGCCTGCCAAGAAAACCCTATGATAGGTTTGCCTTCAGGTTGCCATACGTTGGAAATGACTTGAGGGTGCACAACAACAATACTGTCTGATATTATAGTTAGAAGATTTGATAAATGGGACATATATATATATATATATATATATATATATATATATGTGTGTGTGTGTGGAGAGAGAAAATAATTTATGTGGCTGGCATGAAGTCGAAGGCTTTCACGGCCAGCATCCATAGGTTTTTGTGGGTTTTTTGGGCTGTGGTCTAGAAGAATGTATTTCTGACATTTCACCTGCATCTGTGACTGGCATCTTCAGAGCTCTGCCAGCCACAGATGCAGGTGAAACCTCAGGAATACATTCTTCTAGAACATGGCCTCACAGCCTGAAAAACCCATAAAATGGTATATATGGCTGGCCCTTATTTTTTTTTTTTTCATGCACATGCATGGTAAACTATTAGAACTTTTCCATGAGGGTCAGAGACCAGAATCTCTTTTCCCAACTAGAAGAGACAAATCCAGTTTATCTTTCTAATGGCACCCTTGAGTTAATAACAGTGGTTGCTGTTGTGTATTGACATTTGGCAAATAATAATGCTATAGCCTTATGCTCCTATCTATAGACTACCAACTTGTCAATATAATTCCCAAAATTTTATTTAAAGATGTAAATTATATCTAAGTTTAATGATGTTGACTTGTTAATGTTGGAAAACATTAAAACAGAAAAGCTTCTGATTTCATGTCAATTATTTTACTGAATCCAGAAACATTTCTGTTAGGTATGGTTGATGATGAACTGGGGAAAATCCAGTAGAATAATTGTCTATATGATAACTGCTGCAAGGATACTTTATGCCAAGCTGTGGAAGGATGAGGCAACTTCTACTGTAAAACAGTGGCTCTTGAGAATCTATTAAATGGTAGAACTGGATAAATTTACCCACATGATGAAATAAGGATCCTTAGGAAGATTCAAGAGAATCTTGGAATGTACTGATGAGATATTTGTATAATCACTGGGGCAGAATTGGCAGTAGTGGGTTTTAGAGAGTAAAGAATTAACTTTATCATATATACTATGTTTGTTGTTGTTGAGTGCCTTCAAGTTGTTTTTAACTTATGGCGACCCTAAGGTGGCCCTGTCACAAGGTTTTCTTGGCAAGTTTCTTCAGAGGGAGTTAGTCATTGTCATCCTCTGAGGATGAGAGAGTATGACTTGCTCAAGGTTATGATGTGGGTGTACTTGGCCTAGCCAGGATTTGAACGCTACTCTCCAGAATCATTGGCCAATGCTGAAACCACTACACCACGCTGGCTCCTTAATATATACTATGTATTGGTGAGTCATTTATTTATTTTTCTTTAGTTTCTATGCTGCCTTTCTTCCAGAAAAGGTTCCAAGTGGGCTCCCAGATAAAATCTTTTAATGCTTTACAAGAAAAATGTAAAAACAATATCATCCAGCTACCATATAAAATTACATATAAACATACAAAAGAGACATTTGGAATTATTGAATGTATATATAAAGGGGATACAAACTATTAGAGTGAGATGAAATAGATTACAGACTAGGGGAGAACATTTTTGGTGAGGAGAAATAAGTAAGAGTATTCTGAAAAAACTGAATGATTAGAAAAAATAGAGGAGATAAATCAGACAATAGAAGAGATAAACCAGAAAATTGATGAAAGTGTGATTTGTGTTATTTATTTATTTAATTTATATGCCACCTTTCTCTCAGGACAGGAGTCAAGCTGGCTTCCAGGACAATAGTTTACAAGAAGTTTTAAACCAATTTAAAACCACCACATTAAAAGATGATTATGTTATGTAAAAATATCATAAATGGTTTTCATGTTATGATTTTGGTTTGGTATGTTATGACTGTCTGTTTTTATAAAGTGGTTGCTGATTGTATAAAAATATAATTAAAAAATAAAACATTAAAACCTGGTTGATCAAGCTTTCTAAGGCATAAAATAATATTTCACAGGATTAACACAATAAGCAGGATTTATTTTTTTTCTTTAGACAGTAATGTAAAAAAAACTGGTTTAAATAAACAATCAAACAAAGAACGGTTTTAAACCCCTAAATCCCCTAGTTTTGGGGTTGTTGTTTTTTTTAAATACAAAAAGACTTTCCCCCTCCAAACTTGAGATACAGATATACAAAAATTAGTGCATGTCATTTTCATGCAAATGTGTGTCCTCCTTAATCCTCTTTCTTGTCAATGTGTGAACAGTTCTACATTCTTCTCCATACTTCCTTTTGTGTTGTATCCATTAAGGAATCATTGTTTAAAACAATAAAACTGTGGGAAAAAAGCAGTATTATTCTTGCAAATAATCAATACAATGGCACTATCTGGCTGTAAAAAGACAAAAGCAATCCTTTGAGAGGGAGGGATTTTCCCACAAAAACTCTTCTATAGTACAACCCACTTAATCTGATGCATCTAATGAAATGGGTAGTAGTCCTTGGTCCAAAACACCCTGCAGAAATAAACCAGTTTGAAACTGCTTTAACTACCCTGGTTTAATGCTAGGGAACTCTGGGAACTGTACTTTTGTGAGACATTTAGCCTTCTCTGTCAGAGAGGTCTGATGCCACAATAAACTACAGTTCCCAGGATTCTCTAGCATTAACTCAGGGCAGTTAAAGAAGTCTCAAACTGTTTTGTTTCTGCAGTGTGTGATTTGGGCCCATGAAAATCCATGCTACAGATTTATTTCTCCCAGTTACTCCCAAAGGTACTATAGTTTGAATTCTCCCCTATCCAGAATTGCAAAATCCAAATTACTGCAAAACCCCAAACCTTTTTAATGGATGACTAACTGACGCCTTTGCCTTCTGATGGTTTCAGTGTACACAATCTTTGTTTCATACACAAAATTATTAAAACATTGTACAAAATTACCTGCAGGCTATGTGTAGAAGGTGTATATTAAGCATACATGAATTTTGTGTTTAGACTTGGGTCCCATCTCCAAGATATCTCTCATTATGTATGTACATGCAAATACAGGTATTCCAAAATTCAAACAATAATATAATAAAAATTAACAACAAATAAATAAAATCTGAAATTCAAAACACTTCTGGTCCCAAGCATTTCAGATGAATACTCAACCTGTACTGGATTCCTTTCTGTCTGTTAATGCTAAAACAGAATAGATATCTCTTTGAATTATATTGGTGAGGAGTTTCAAATTGGTACACACTAATTTAATCAGGCCTTGTTTCGATGTATTTATATGTAACACACATAATATACAACGGCCTCAAGTTGAGTCTATTTATTCATTTCTTTTAAAAATAATCCCAACAACCATACTAGACTAATGAATCAGTCAAAACTAAAAAAGAAGATTGTTTTTTTACTTCATTTCTGACCAATAGCTCAGAATAGCCAAATGGCTTTTGATAGCCAAAATGCCTTTTGATACCACTGATTTATTCTAATTCCAATTCTAATATGATACATTTTGGCAATCATTGGAACTCAGTAAGCATCCACACCGTGGTGCCCAAGATCCGGGCTACAGGCTGATGTGTATATGCTGTGTGCCTTCAAGTCATTTCTGATTTATGGCTAACCTATCATGGGATTTTCTTGGCAAATTTCTTCAGAGGAGTTTGCCATTGGCATCCTCTGAGGCTGAGAAAGTGTGACTTGGCCAAGGTCACCCAGTGGGTGGCCCAACTGGGATTTGAACCCTGATTTATGGAGTCAAAGTCCAACACTCAAACTACTATGCCATGCTGGCCCTCCACGGATTGATACCTAGGGGGAAAAAGAAAGAAAGACGAATCTATAGATGCAGTGAAGTGCCTGAGTGCCTGAAAAATCAGGGCACTGGGTCACCAATATAATTTTCACTTTAGACCAGGGGTAGGCAACCTTTTTGAGCCAGGGGCCGGGTTGCTGTCCCTCAGACAAATGGGGGGCCGAAGCAGCATAAATAAATAAATAAATAAATAAATAAATATTTTTTTTACAAAAATATGCATGCACACACTCTCAGCCCCAGAAAAGCCATGGCAAAACCCCTGTGGAGATTTTGCCAAGAAAACCCCAAGAACAAGTAATAACAACAATAATCAATATCATCATGGCGGGTGGCTGCATCCGGCCCCCGGGCCTTAGGTTGCCTACTCCTGCTTTAGGCCATATCAAGACTGCAGCATTGGAAAGTTTCCTTGAAGAGTCATTTGCTGCTGTAACATAATTAATTACCACTATATTTTGATCTCCTTCCTTGTTATTGAAAAGTAACAAAGATATAGTTACTTCTGGAGAAAAAAATAGAATGTTACAAGCTTTCAGTCTGTGGAACAAAATACTGCAATAGTGTGGCCATACATTTCTGCGCTGCGCCTCAGGAAACACTGCCAATAAACTCCAGAGCAAGATTACTTCTTCCCCATTTTAAGACATCAGCTGGCTGGCCAATTGTGGTTGGGGGTAGCTGCACCCAGAGCCATCTGGCTAACCAGCATACCTAGGGTAAATGTATTGGACATATAAATATAAGATACTTCCTCTGCAATGCTTTAAAAATGCAGAACAATTGTGTAAGCTACCAACAGGATGCTGTGTTTTCTCCTTTACCTGCTTGCTGAAGAACAAAAGGTGTCAGCCTATCCACCTTTGGTAGGATACTGAAATACTGGTGGTGACTTGCCACTGGCATAGGTTTTTGTGGCTGCATCTGATGCAGTCCCCAAAAGCTTATGCTAAATAAATCTTGTTAGTCTTTAAAGGGCCACAAGATCCTTCATACTTTTGCTGTAACAGACTACCGGTAATACAATTATTCTCTATTTTAAAAAAAAAATCTCCTTTGGGAAGTTTCTGAAGTCATGAACTCTTATAATCAAACCACTAATTTGTATCCTGTGACCCTGTAGGTTTTTAAATTTTATTTACTGCATTAAAAAAACCCTATTATACCCTTCTTCTAAGCAGTTCTCATCTCTCATTATAAAATCACAAAACTCTGTGAGCTTGAGAGACAATCTGTTTCTGAGCAGAATCACTGGTTATGGTGAAGAAAGGACCATGTTTGTGGGACAGAAAAATGGCCAGGAAGGTCACTCATGTTTTGCTTCATGTAAAAGTTGAAGTGTTATTTAAGCTTTATACGAAATAAACATGACATATTCCAATCTGTTTTATAATTCCTGTTTACGTATCTTGGAGGTTGGAGGTTACCGAGTATGCCTTGATAATGGACATCATGCTAGTGATGGCACAAATTAATTGCAGATTGTTCCTTTACAGTGTATGGTCTTCAAATGATGTTGTAGAACTCAAAATGGTGGTCCGTGCACTGCTGCTGGTCCTTGAGCCATTCATTGGCTTCTTGTTCCTGGTGAGTTTTCAGGAAACAAAGAAACAATTGTAGCCAGTGGCCAGAAGTATGGCACTGGTCTCTCACATTGTGGTGGAAAAAATTACTGGTCCTCCACTTCAGATAGCATGGAAAACACTATTGTAGATCTGAACATATTGACAAGATAAAAAAGACACCTCAGTGTCACTAGGTATATTATTTTGATGGATGCTATGCACATTCATGAGTCAAATGTGTGAAATGCATTCATGAAACTCAGCCAGAGGGTATGGGCAGAATCCTTGGAGAGGTGAGAGGTGCCACATGTATACTGGACGCATACCATCTTGGCTGTTGAAAACAGCCAAAGGAGGACTGGCCAAATGGGTAAGGGGACTACTGAATGCCTCACTACAGCAAGGCAGGTTTCCAGCTTGTCTAAAAGAGGCTGTGATGAGGTCACTACTGAAAAAAATCTTCCCTAGATCCCACCATATTGGAGAACTATCAGCCAGTCTCTGATATCCCCTTTTTGGGCAAGATAATCCCCAGCTCCAGGGATTCCTGGATGAACCCCATTTTGGGAGAAAGGCAGGATATAAATCAATCAAACAAGCAAATTTGCTGAGCAAATTTACATACATCCCCTACTTGTTTCTGAATCTGTGAATATCTGTGAAAAACCTGCAAGGTGTAGTGGTTTGAATGTTCAACTACAACTCTGGAAACTTGGGTTCAAATCCCCACTTGGCCATGGAAATCCACTGGGTGACCTTGGGCAAGTCACACACTTTTAGGCAGGGGTAGGCAACCTAAGGCCCGGGGGCCGGATGCGGCCCCCCAAGGCCTTTGGACTGGCCCCAGGCTGGTCCTGCCGCTACCGCCGCCGCCGCCCACCATGATAATATTGATTATTGTTGTTATTACTTGTTCTTGGAGTTTTCTTGGCAAAATCTCCACAGGGGTTTTGCCATGGCTTTTCTAGGGCTAAGAGAGTGTGCATGCATATATATTTTTATTTTTTTTAATTTAAAAAATAATATTTATTTATTTATTTATTTATTTATGGTGTTTTGGCCCCCCAGTTGTCTGAGGGACAGCAACCTGGCCCCCAGCTCAAAAAGGTTGCCTACCCCTGCTTTTAACCTTAGATGAAGGCAAAGGCAAACTTCCTCTGAACAAATCTTGTAAAGAAAAGTTCAGTGATTTGTTCACCTGAGGGTCACCATAAGTCAGAAACATCCTACATGTTTCATCATGGTAACTCTTCCCAGGCTTGATGAGTTTCACCTTGAAAAATCCAGCCATTGCTTACAAAACAAAAAAACCTACTCACAGCAACTAGAAGACAATAAGGATCAAATACCTCCTCAATTGGTGATTAGGCTTCAGACTGGGAAAGATAAATTAACTGGTTGAAGTGGTGATTGGGTCATGCAGATTCATTATTCAGTAGACTTGCTAAAATACAGTATTTTGCATCACAGAATCCCACTGATGTATACATTCTAGTATCCCCTAGCCAGTTTCTGGGAATTCTGTCCAGAAAAGTAAGATTTCCAAATTCTGAGTAACAGTATCAAATTCCTGGCATTGCAATGAAAGCAATAGCAACAACAACAACAGCAGCATACTTGTGGGAGACAATTTTCTGTCACCGGTTGCCAAAAATGCACCCCCACCTCTTATATGTCCTTTTCAGGTTTTGAAAACTGGGTATTGAGGGATGTCAAAAAGCTTCCAGGACAGGCAATCTGGCCTTTCAGTAGCTGGCCATCAGAGCAAAATTAGTACAGGTAGTCTAGAGCAGGGGTAGGCAATCTTTTTGAACCAGGGGCCGAGTTGCTGTCCCTCAGACAATTGGGGGGTCAAAGCACCAAAAATAAATAAAGAAATAAAGAAAATTAAAAAAAAATGCATGCACACTCTCTCAGCGCCAGAAAAGCCATGGCAAAAACCCTGTGGAGATTTTGCCAAGAAAACCTCAAGAACAAGTAATAATAACAATAATCAATATCATTATGGTGGGAGGGGGCGACGGCGGCAGGACCGGCTTGGGGCCAGTCCAGAGGCCTCAGGGGGCCGCATCCGGCCTCCGGGCCTTAGGTTGCCTACCCCTGGTCTAGAGGGATCCTCTGATGCAATAACACACTTGTGGCCCCAGGGTTCCACTCCTTTACCCACACTTGCTGTAATTGTGGCTACCTCCTCTCCTATTGTGCAAATCGCACCCAGAGGTCACAATTTGTTCTTTTTGTCTGTTACATTCACACATAGCACAGGGCTGGTTATCCCAATTTACTAGGCATGGTCCCTAAATGTTCCTGTCTCTGCTGAAAAACTTTTTAATTTGTCTGTTAATTTAAATTTAATTTAATTAATGTAATTAATCTGACCTTTCTGGATATGAGTACCTAGGACAGAGGTGGGCAAGTGGCTGCTAAACTAGATTGTCTGGCAGGATCAGGGCCCACCCCAGTCTAGATATGGGGAACAAGCTGTATCTCCATACTAGTGCATACTGATGAATGCTCATATATGCTCTCCCTTACCCAAAATTAATTGCCTCCATTGCAGTTTCTACATTTGGAGAGACCATTTTGACAACATGGTTTGTGAAAGTCTGCACAAGGTCTGTAGAGGAAAGGGAAGAGGCTTGTCATTGATGGTGGATAGCACATCAACTCTAACCACCAGTGATGGTGGATAGCACATCAATTCCACAGAGGGAGTTGTTGTTATTATTTTACTTTTAATTAAAAAAAAACATTTTAATGGAAAGGATGACAATGTTAATCCAGTATGCACCTGCTGTGAAAGAGGCAGATTTCATTTGTAAGATCATTAGTAAAGGACTAGAAAATAAAATTTGTCACTACTCTAATGCTTTTATTCCAGAGCCTGGAAAAGTTTGTGTTGAATCCCCACTCCATTATGCAAACCTACTGGGCAAGTCACATTCTCTCAGCCCAAGAGGAAGGCAATGACAAATTTCTAAATAAATCTTGTAAAGGGCTGCTGTAAATCAGATTTAATCTGAATGGACATAGCACAAGTGGATGGGGAGAAGACTTTCCCCTTCTCTTATAACCTCGGAACTCACCGGATAGGAAGATTCAGGACAGTTAAAGCATTTTCTCACACAACTCAAAGCTAAACTATAGAGCCATCAACGTGGACAGTTTTGGAAGGCATGAGTGATATTCATGGAAGATATGACTATCAATGGATACTAGTCTAAAGATTACATCCAGATCTGAGGCAACAAAAAGAGGACCAGATAAGCTTATGGTAGATATGCCTACCATGATTACTCTATACAACCTCCCCAAGTAGTACTCTGTGGCATGAAGACTTTTTTCCTTTTATATCTGACGTGTCAGATTTCCAGGGCATCTAGTTCACTACTGTGGGAAACAGAAAATGTTACAT